AAGTGGTGCTGTGGCTCAAGTGGTAGAGCGCTAGCCTTGAGCTGAAGAGCTGAGGGACAGCGCCCAGGCCCAGAGTTCAGGCCCCATGACTGGACCCAAAAAAACAAACAAAAAATTGCCAGATGAAACTGTAACCCCCACCTCTGCCCATCACCTTTATAATAACAAAAATTAATAAAATATTTCATTTGCTAAAAAAAGTCTTTATAAGAAATGTTTTTTTTTTAATTGCCAAATGATGGTGGCTCATGACTGTAGTCCTATGCAGAAGGCTGAGATCTGAGGATCATATTTTGAAACCAATCCATGCAGAAAAATCCATGAGACTCTTATCTCTAATTAAACCACCAAAAAGCTAGAGGTGGAAGTGTGGCTCAAGCGGCAGAACACCAGCCTTGAATAAACTAAACTCAGGGACAGTGCCCAAACCCTGAGTTCAAGCCCCAGAACCATCCACAAAACAGAAATAAAAATAGTTAAAATGGCACATGTTGTATATTTTGCCCCAATTAATTTCAAAGTAGCTCATTACTTATGGCAAAATAAAATTAGAAAAAAAATAGAATAAGGAAAGGAGTTCTAACCACACCCAGAGGCAAACCCCCGTATACTGTGAGTTGGATTAGGAAAAAGAACTTGAGTGGAATAGGAAAGAGAGCAGGAGGAAGAACCAGCCAAGTACCTGTCCCAATGCCCTAACTTGACTTCCTACATTAACATGTCTTAGATTATCCTTCTAGAACTTTCCATACATTTCCAGTGTATGTGTACGGACATAGGAACTAGTCACCTTAAAGGAGATGTGCTCTGACCATTCCTATTCCTATCACTTCACCCTTCATTCACATCAGTCTCTTAGCACGCCTCTGGTATGTCTGCAGATTACTTGGTGTTTCCAGTATCTCATTGCTTATGTGCACAATCACAAATTCCCTGGTCCTCAAGAGTTGGATAGTTACTGTCACCCTAGCTACATGGGAGGCTGAGATCAGGAGGATCTCAGTTCCAAGTCAATCCAGACAAAAATGTCTGTGAGACTCCCATTACAACAGAAGCAGCTGAGTGTGTGGGTGTGGGGATGCAGACCTGCCATCCTAAATATAACAGGAAGACCAGAATAGGCAGCTTGAAGTATAGGCACACACTTGGGTAAGAAGAGACTTTATCTAAAAAATAACCAGCACAAGCTGGGAGCCGGTGGCTCAGCCTGTAATCCTAGCTACTCAGGAGGCTGAGATCTGAGGATTGTGGTTCAAAGCCAGCCTGGGCAGGAAAGTCCTCCAAATAAACCACCAGAAAACCAGAAGTGGTGCTGTGGCTCAAGTGGTAGAGTACAAGCCTGAGCTGAGGAGCTCAGGGAAAGATCCAGGCCCAGAGTTCAAGACCCTTGACTGACAAAAAAAAAAATAAAAATAAAAAAATAACCAGCACATATGGATGGGAAGGTGGCTCAGAGGTAGAGTGCTTGCCTTGCATGCATGAAGCTCTGGGCCAATTCCTCAGCACCACATAAGCAGAAAAAGCTGGAAGTGGCATTGTGGCTCAAGTGGTAGAGCACCAGCCTTGAGCTGAAGAGCTGAGGGACAGTGCCCAGACCCAGAATTCAGTCCCCATGACTGACAAAAATAACATAAAATAAAATAAAAACAGCACAAAAGAAAAGATGTCATGAGGTACATATAGTTCAGCAGTGGACCACCTGCATACCAAGCACGAGATCCTGAGCTCAGTCCCTCAGGACCACAAGGGAGAGTTTAATTGACTATTTTTTTATGTGCTGTTGTGCTCTTGCTTGGTTTTCTTGCACATGGCTGGTGCTCTACTACTTGAGCCATGCTTCCAGTTCAGCTTTTTGCTACTTAACTGGAGATGGAATTTTTGTAGACTTCTCTGCTCAGGCTGACTTCAAATGGTAATTGTCCAGTCTCAGCCTCTTGAGTAGCTAAGATTACAGGCAGGAGCACGTAGAACCTAGCATAACTGAGCCTAATCATAGTAATATGCAGTGTTTCTAACACTCTGACAGGTACCAGGTCAAGGTCCTTGCTGGAGTGCTTTCGTGCTCATTCACAATACATGGACACCCAACTTCAGGCAGAAAGTATGGTGGAGAGCCTGGGGGGAACCTGAGGATAGACCCTCACGTCCTCCTGTCCTTCCAGACAAACCACTTGATCCCCTGGGCTCCAGGTGCCAAAGGAGACCTGGGGATGGTTGACAAGTGGACAGGTCAGATGCACCCCTCCGTGCCAGGGAGACCCCACGCTGGACAGCGAGACTTACCATGGAGAGAATGACCAGGGCAGGGAAAAATCCCATGACCACGTAGCAGAGCAGCTCCACAAGTTTGTACCTGGCAGGAAGACAAGCCACACTGGCCCTGAGACAAGCAGCCCCCGCCACCCCCCCTGAAAATCACACAGCTCCCTGATTCTGGGAAGGAAGAGCTCTCTTTGTGCCACACTCCCTGGCCTGGTGTCCTAACAGGTGGTGGAAGTCGTATCACTTTGGGCAAGTTTGAGACTCTGGAGCTAGAGCAGGGATTGCACATACTGAACACAGCATACAGGTGGGTACTTCCAATGCAGAAATAACTAGTAAATCCCAGCATCTTTTCCTACAGAACTGAAGCAGCCACCCTCAATGGAGCCAAAAGCAATGCACTGTCCGGGACTGAGTTGCCTCCAGAGGCCCCATGGGCTCTGAGATTCCAAGAGCCCCTCTTTTGCTTCTCTAACCTATCATTTGATTCTGCCCATCCCTGTCATGTAGCAGGACAAAGACTGGGGGAAAGCACCTTCCTATCCCCTCTCCTTCATCTGCCAACATCGGTGATGGGTGAAGGAGATCAATGGACCCAGTGATCTGTGATGTCGTCAGTGGACTCGTGAGGACTGATGCTCAGCCATGGCCTCAACAGAACTGTACCCTCATACTTCTGGGGTCATCCTGGGGAGAGGCCCCACCCACCCACTGTGACCCCCTACTCAGGCCCTGGCTTACCGCTCATGGAAGAAGAACACATAGACAGTACCAACAGAGGCCATAATCCAGACAAGCCAGCGCATGTGGGAGGCCCAGGGGCCCAGCTCTCGAAGATTCAGCCTGGGAGAAAAAGAGCCATGGCTCAACCTGAGGGGCCCCCTTGGACCTGGCCCTGCAAGGAAGCCGATTCCATGGCCAGAGACGCCCTGTTCCCAGAAGTGCTGCACAGGGGGCCATAGGCTCTTGCAGGAAGAGTCTGGACAGGCAGAAAGGTTGCTGGACAAGCCAAAATAACCATCAATGGTGGGCCCAGAGTCCCTTCTTCAAAATGCTCAGGATATGGAATATTTCAGATTTTGGATCCCCCCCCAAGTTTTGGAACATTTATACATGCATAAGGAAATACCTTAGGGCTGGGACACAAGTCTGCACATGGAATTCACTTAGGTCCCACATATACCTTATACACAGAGACTGGACATATATTTTTTTTAATTTTATTTATTTTTTGATCAGTCATGGGGCTTGAACTCTGGGCTTGGGCACTGTCCCTGTGCTCTTCAGCTCAAGGTGAGTGCTCTACTGCTTGAGCCAAAGCGCCACTTCTGGTTTTCTAGTGGTTTACTGGAGAAAAGAGTCTCACGGACTTTCCTGCCTGGACTGGCTTTGAACTGTGATCCTCAGATCTCAGACTCCTGAGTAGTTAGGATTACAGGCGTGAGCCACCGGTACCTAGTTTGGAGATATTTTTTGAGATAGCACTATAGGCTGGGCTGGAACCTAAAAGTCCTCTTGCCTTAGCCTCCTGAGTGCTGATTATAGGCATGTACTACCATGCCTGGCTCTTATACATTATTTTCAGTGCAGCTATGTTCTGACCCATGCAACTTCTCACTTGAGGCTGAGTCTGGTGTTTTCCCATTTGTGGGAAATGTCTTATCAGTTCCAGAAAAATTTAGAATATTGGAGCACTGTAGATTTCAAGTATCCAGACTTGGATAATCAATCTTAACCAGAGGAAATTGGCCAAGAAAGGAAAGAACGTCTCAAACATGTAGATGTAAAAATGAGAAAAGTGAACTTGGGTGCTGCTGGCTCAAGCCTGTCATCCCAGCTATGTGGAAGACTGAGCTCAGGACGAGGGTGTCTCAGGCCAGCATCAATTCAGTGGCTCATACCTATCATCCTGAGATCACAAGGAGCGTGGTCCCAAGCCAGTCTGGGAAGAAAAAGTCCACAAGACACCAACTCAGTGGGAGACACCAACTCAGTGGAAGAAGTTGTGTGTGGCTGGGCACCAGTGGCTTATGCCTGTAATCCTAGCTACTCAGGAGGCTGAGATCTGAAGATCAAGTTCAAATCCAGCCTGGGCAAGAAAGTCCATGAGACACTTATCTCCAATAAGCCACCAGAAAACTGGAAGTGGCACTGTGGCTCAAGTGGTAGAGCACTAGCCTTGAGCTGAAGAGCTGAGGGACAGTGCCCAAGCCCAGAGTTCAAG